CGCCAGTTCTGGAAGAAGTACCCCAGCTACAACCTCAATGCCATGATGCGCAAGCGCTACGAGGAGCTCATGGACGCCCGGGCGTTCAACGAGTGGCTCCAGAACCGACAGCTGAAGCGGCAAGGTGAGGAGTACGCCGACGTCATGGGCAGGATGGCCGAGATGGTCAATCGCAGGATCCCCCAGCTGCGGTGGGCCGGGGCGGAGCGGCGGCAGGTCCTCCGAGCCGCCCAGCAGGTCGCCGCGCCGTACTAAGCAAAGCATGGAAGAGCAGAGGGCCCTCGGCTTCCGTGTGCGCCCTCGCTTTGCTGAGGTGCTGGAATCCTTCGAGGAAGGCGAGCCCCTCAACCTGCCCCTGCCAGACAGGCGCGTGAGCACCTATGTGCAGAGCCACTTCTACCTGGATGAGTTCCCCCAGTCCGCAGAGCCGCTGGACGAGAACCCGAAGGCCCCACAAGCTGGGCGCGCGGCTCGAGGACGACTACGTCAGCGCCGACGACGGCTACCAGGGCAGGCCCTTCCCGCAACTGAAGCGACCCAGCTTCTTGGGTCCAGGCCCCGACACGGAGAGTGAGGGTGACCCAGACGAGGCTTTTCGCCAGGGACGGGTTCGACGCGCTGAGGCCGCCACCTCCAGCCCAGCCGAGCAGCAGCGCCAGCGGACGCATTGGTGAGGCCGTGCTGCGGGGAGGGGAAGCCGTCATAGCTGCAGGGGCTAGCGGCATAGGTCAGGCAGTGAGGCAGTTTGGCTTCCGCAACGCCGAGCTTGCTGCGGCAGCTGTGGAGCGGCGAATTACCCCGCAGATCATCGGCAGACCAGCCGAGGCGGAGCAGCTGATTGCCGCGCCCAGGAGGTGGAGAGGGCTGCTGCCCAAGACATAGAGACCTTTGCGGCGGAACAGGCTGCTGAAGGCGGCGAGCTCGTGGCCCTGCTTGCTGAAGCTGGCACGCAGACCGCTGAGGCTGCGGCAGCTGAGGCGGCTGGAGGCGGGATTCTAGGCGGCCTGGCAGCCGCAGCAGAAGGCGTAGGAGCTGCCGCGGCAGCTGCTTTCCCCATAGCCGAGAAGCTACACATGACCACCAGCGTCACAACAGGAGGCGCGGCGGCCCTTGCGGGCGGCGCTGCTTACGGGCTGTATCAAGGCGGGCGCTGGCTCCTGTCGGGCAACGGAGGTGACGCTGCGTCATCCAGCGGCGGCGAGTTCCCAGACGTCAGGACTCTGAACGGCATGCAACAAGGAACGCCGCAGGAGCGCGTCAGCCTCCAACAGCGCAGGGTGCAGCAGCCCATGGTGTCGCGCTTGAACAGCAGCGAAGATGACGCGCCCATGGCCCAGCAGCAGGCGCAGCCGCGGCCCCAAGTACAGTCGCGTCCAGCCCCGCAGCCGAGGATGCCCTTCAGTCTGAACCAAGTCTCACAGCCGAGCAGCGGCAGCGACAGCTACGCCTCCGTTCGAAGGCCGCGCGCTCAGCGGCCAGGGCCCTCCTTCAACGAGCTGCGTCGGGAGGCACTGTCCCGCGAAC